CTTTATAAACCGTCCATCTCACCTTGCTATTTCCCATCACCCATCCACCTTGGGTGGTTTTCATGATTAAAACCATCTCAAAGTCCATGGTTTTCAATTTTTAAACTATCCAAAAACGTCAACATCTGCTATCTCACATTACCCAATTTTTTGAGTCCTCAACTTGCACAACCACCGCATATTATTCACACTCTCTCATCTCTGCTCTCACTCACTCTCTCTCTGCCTTCGCACTCTTTCATCTCCGCCTTTGCCTTCGCACTCTCTCATCTCTGCTCTCACTCACTCTCTCTCTCTCTTCGCACTCTTTCACCTCCGCCTCTGCCTTCGTACTCTCTCATCTCTGCTCTCACTCTCTCTCTCTCTCTCTCTCTCTCTTCGCACTCTTTCATCTCCGCCTCTGTCGTTGACTCCAGCGACGACCACCACGACCCCCAATTGCCCCCAAACCCCAACCTCAACCAACACAACAACCACCCATTCTCCTCCCCCCCGGAGCCCTCCCCGCCGGCGCCGCGCTCGCCTCCGTCTCTGTTCCATGTCTGCTTCAACCAAGACCACGCCTGCTTCGCCGTGGGGACATACCACGGGTTCCGGATCTACAACTACGATCCGTTCCGCGAGCTCTTTCGTCGCGACTTCGACAACGGCGGCGGAATCGGCGTCGTTGAGGCGCATATCTTAGGTCTGAGTCTGCAATAGATCTGGGTAGTGGGATGACGCAGCCTCGGCTGCCTTTTCGACGAGATTGTTTCGATAATATCGAATATATCGCGATATTATCGATAATATCGCGATATTTTGACGAAAACCATTTGGATACCTATTTAAATATCCATTGCGCGAACAACCGATAATATCGGCGATATTTCGCCGATATTATCGGCATTTTCTTCCATGCTTCCAACGATACTAACTGGTTTAGCTTAAGTTAAAATATTTAAATATTACTTTTTTCTAAACTTAACAACCCAAATCTTTGTCTTCTCTTCAAGTCCACAAACAATTAAATTTTGTATTTTTTAATGTTTAGTAAAAATTTAGCTTTTCCTCTCCTACCTAAATTCACAAAGCTAAAATAGCTACTCATTTAACTAGACCTCCTTCAGCTATGGACCTTGGAAGATACCCTGACTTGGGGGAGTGGAGGGAGAGTAACCTATGATATCGTTTGGTATGCAGACGAGACGGAACAGAATGGGACGGGATGAGATGGGACGGGAAGGAATGGAGAGGGAGCAAAGATGCCCTTGGATGGAAACAAGGAGGAAGAAGAAGGAGACAGAGAGGTTATAATTTTGTGTTCCATGGATGTGGAACGAGTCGTTCCAGGAGGGTGAGGTGGAACGAAAATTCACCAAAAATTTGTCCCGTGGAACAGCGTGTTCCACCCGTTTTAGGTGCACCAAACGTGGGACGGAACGACTCGTCTCATTCTGTTCTGTCATGTCCCACGTACCAAACGTTACCTATAGGAACTAAGACATTACTGGTTTTTCTTTTGCATGTAGTTCCAAGGGAACAGACTCAGTAGAATCTTATACAACAGTCCTACAAATTATATTGTGGGACATCTAATATATCAACCTTTTGTGACCCTTTCTTTCATGCGTTTCTGGCTGCCTTATTACATGAGCCAGCAAGCCAGCCTATTCCCATGTCTTTACATGGATCATCCCAGAAGCATGTTCTTTCATTAACTTGCCCTCAATATATAACAAACTCTTCCATCTTTTTACATAACACTTTCCTGCCTCATTCTTATACATGCATATGTCATACACAATATGTGCACACTCACAGCCGACAAAAAAAAAAGGATTGTCATGACAGTATGAACTGAAGAAAAAGATAATAATAAGTGATAAAATTAGAGAAATTGGATGTTGTATGGACAATTATAAAAATATGTTGCTGAAATAGGAAAATCCACACTACCAACCTGAACTTTGACACGAAAAATATCTTATATGCCCTAAATATATCCCTACGCAATCGATCGACAATCTTCAATTCAATTTCATTTTCCAAATGCAAATTCTTACTGTTAAATACATGATATGTATGTTAGACCTTTTGAACATTTCACATGTTATGTCCCGTGTTGATCGTTGGATTTTTTTCTTCTTATTTGAGCAAAAACTATTTGCAGTTGTCCTATAATGACCAGTTTTCCTAAAATAAAATGAAAACCAAACAGAGATAATGAGTACATTGGCTATGCCTAGGGCTATGAAGACATCTTTTTTCTGCATTGATTAAACACTTACACATGAACTTAAGCATAAGATCTGAGCTCGGTGAATTCAGGATTACAGGCTTTCAAACAGTTCCACAGAGTCATAGGCTTTACAGCTAGCTTTTAAACATCAATCTGTATGTTTCATATCTCCTATTTGCCTTCTTCTATCTGAACATCTGAATACTATATAATTTATTTATTCCCATTTTCTTTCTTTTGTATATGTTATATATAAATTGTTTTGTAATTAGACCATGTTCAAAGTCACCGCAAAGTTTTTTTAACTGAGGTTTACTTTTGTAATCTATTTCTGGTTCAATTTTCATCGATTTTAATAAATATCGTATCTTTCCTCAAGCTGCAATATTTGTGTCATTGTTCTATTTAACATATTTAGTTTCACAAATTAAACCATCATTAGTGTATAGTTTTTTACATACCTTCAGTTGAATTCATTTTATTTTTGGGGCAATTATGCCAAAGTTCCCCTCATGCAGAGTCTGAGATTTAGGTTATACACGTGCAAACATGGGTCACACGTGGGGAGGGGCAGACTGGCAGAGGGAGAAGAAAACAAAAGAAAGCACAGAAGGTGTGAGAGAAGGCAGTTGATACGAGAGATATGGTGATGGGAACAATATATTCTCTACACTAATAAGTACTGTTCAATTGTACCTGTCAATGTTTAAAAGGAAAACTAATGAAAAAGACTTGAAAATTTTGAGTTTTAATGATAAGGACAAAATAAAGAGTAAAGTGAATAGTACCAGGTTTGACTTTTTAGTGTAAAAATGTGGTTTTTCGTTAAAATGAACAGTACCGTAGCCCCCCCCCACAAACACACTTTTCGTTAAAACTCCCATGTTAAATGCCCACACGCGCGCCCCCCACCCCCCACAAACACACACACATCACACATGCATGGTCTGAGAAGTCGAGGACCAAGTGATCCTTTGTCTTTTGAAAGATCTAACGATAAGTGGGGTTCTGTGAATTTCTGGAGATCGTTTCTATTAGTATTACCCCCCCAATTTTACTCATGTCCCAATTAACAACATTACGTTGTGTACTAATTAATACATAACTAATCCATCCTGTCATCTTTTGCAAAACCGGTCTCGTATAGTAATACCCTTGTCTTTGTCTCACTTATTACTTAACCATGATGTTATATATCTATGTTTAAACCCTAATTGTCTGACCAAGTCCACTCAGTAATTGAACAGACTCTGTCTCGCTGATGAGAGTAGTAGTGTCTAAGTTTGTTTGTAATCTAAATTGAATTTTAGGCATGCAAATTAACTTTTGGTTTATTTAGTCGTTGGTTATGTGGATGAATATGTATGACATGGGCATATTAGAAGTTAGTTTTGTTTTGCAGCTTCCGAACGTGGGGTCTCCATGGATATGATGACATGAAGAAGCCCAGCCAGCAGGGATCTCATAAGCATGATCACATGCACATACATGGACCTTAAATGCTAAGTACAGGCATGAGCAATGAGCTAGTCCAGTGAGAGACTGAGAGAGTAGCGACACACAAACGTGCATCGTTTCTTTGGTTTTTTTTTTTTTTAAATTATTTTTTCTAAAGAAAGAAAATTAAAAACAGAAAATCAAGTAAACTTAAGAAAGTAGATTTCATTTATTTTAAGCTAAATCCTAAAGTAGTTACTTAACAAGTTTTAAGTTAAAAAAAAATGAAAATAAAAACTAAAAATGAAATAATTATCGAACAATCTTATAGTAAAGGATTTTTCTAAATTACTTCAGTCTATGAATATTCAGAGTGTTTGAACGGCTAGACTTTCAAAATAAATAAAACCAAATCAGGGTTATCTGATATTGGGTTGTTTTTATTCTTTTTATTCTTGAGGTGTTATGTTATGACTGTTTATCTATGCATGCGAAATTTATGTCCGATTCATTCATCTCAAATATCATTTTTTATATATAAAAGATAGATTATTCAGCAGTGTTTGTTTAATTAGCTGATGATTCGAAGTCATTGGAATCTTTTGCTTATACAGAATAAGGTCATTAGAATCTTGGATTATATATGGAATCCATAAATAATGAAATTGTTGCCTCCTGGGCACATGATTCGTGAACACCCGTCCTCTCCGTAAGAGAGAGAGAGAGAGAGAGAGAGAGGTAGAGATATGTGGAGAGGTGGGGTTTAGAATGACGTTAAGGAAGTGGCCTTTCAGAACTGTTATAATAGTTGTGAAAGAAGGGACATGAAAAAATCAAGGCAAATAATTCATGGCCAAATGGGGTTTGGTGATGGTCGTTGGGTCAACTTCAGGTGGTTAACTGAAACCCAAGGTAAATTCCCCCAACTCTAGTTAAACAGGGGGGTCTCATCTTGCCAGAAAAAGCCGGTCTTATCTTTATAATTATGTGTCCATTCTTATTTCTGTACATACATAAAATATAAACACATACATAAGAATAAATACATACATAAGAGTCTCTTATCAAGTGATAAGAGAAATATATACATAACGTATTGTATATAACGAGATCGATCGCACGCAAAAATCTTTTCATATGTTGAGTGATAAGATGGAGGGCTAGCTGGCCTACCTTGTTTACTGGTGTCCAACAGGAAGGGTTCTTGTGTCAAAGTGCTCTTCAATCTGCGGTTTGAAAAGAGAAGGGGGGCGTGTCTAGACCAGCACAAGCCCAAGCGAGCATACATCACATTAAGAGTCTTCCTTGTCAATCTTGAGAGAGACAGCCTAAGAAGAACCCTTCAACTTTCAACCCCATCACCATAAAGAGAGAGAGAGAGAGAGAGAGAGAGAGAGAGAGAGAGTGTAGGCCTCACTTTCACACGTGTGAGTGATGTGGGATTTGTTAAAAAGAAAAAGAGGAGAACAACAATAAAATAGTAGTAGGAGCTTGTTAAATTTTAGGGTCAGGGTCAGTCAGGGTTGTTAACTACTTAAAAGCACTTCTCCCTCGCTCTCTCTCTCTCTCTCTCTCTCTCCTCTCTCCTCTTTCCACCACCCCCACACAGTCAGTGAGACTGATGAGGTGAGAGGCCGTGTAGGTTTCTGAACACTATTTGCTATTTTTGCTGTTTCTAGTTTTCTCGCCTGCAAACACACTCCTTGCTCTTCCTACCTAGCTTTCACTAGCGCGCGCTCTCTCTCTCTCTCTCTCTCTCTCTCTCTTTTGCTTCCAATTATTTTTCCAATCCTTTTCAAACATGACTTTGTAACAGTTCTTCAATGTAAGAAAATGATGGCCAACAATGGTGCTATATATGCAACAGAAACCCCTAATACCTTAAGCTGTTTCTCCTCCTCTTCTTCTTCTTCTTCTTCTTCTTCTTCAATGGGAATGGTTTATGCCGATATGGGCTCTCTTTCTCTGAGCTCCAAGTTTGGAGTATACTCATCAGTTTCTTCGCAGGACAGCAGCTACATCTCTAAGATTTCTGAACCAGAAAATGGAAGGGCATTCTGGGGTTTTCCTTCTACCAGAAGTTATGAGGATCACCACAACAGCAGTGACATGAAGGGCTCAGATTATATCAGCAGTGATCATGATAAGAATCCTAACGAGAGTGGGGGGAAAGTTAGTGAGAAGGAAACAGAAAGTGGGCAATCAAAACTGTGTGCCAGAGGGCATTGGAGGCCTGCTGAGGATTCCAAGCTCAAGGAACTTGTGGCTCTTTATGGCCCTCAGAACTGGAACCTTATTGCAGAGAAGCTGGAAGGAAGATCAGGTAAGAAAAATGTGAGAGATTGTTTAGTCCTTTTGTCTGTAGTTATGTCTTCTTTTTGGAATTGATTTTCACACTCGCGTTCTTCCACCGCACTCTCCTATTTTACCTGAACTCTTGGATTGAATAAACCAGATTTCAACAACAACAAAAAAGAAGAATAAATCAGATGAGAAGTGCACGAGAAAACGAATCACTGCTATGTTTTCTCTTTGATTTCACGATTTTCACTCTAATCTAGAATAATTCATATGTTTTTGCATATTTGTGTTTGTTAAAAAGGTAAGAGCTGCAGATTAAGATGGTTTAACCAGCTGGACCCAAGAATCAACAGAAGAGCTTTTACTGAGGAGGAAGAAGAAAGACTAATGCAAGCTCATAGAATATATGGCAACAAGTGGGCCATGATAGCCAGGCTCTTTCCTGGAAGAACTGATAATGCTGTGAAGAACCATTGGCATGTTATCATGGCCAGGAAGTACAGAGAGCAATCCAGTGCTTATCGGAGGAGGAAGCTAAACCAAACTGTTTACAGAAGCATGGAGGAAAATCCAAGCTTCAATGCAGCCTCGAGGAGTACTGAACCTCCGCCACCTTATAATGGTCTCAGTCTCCCCAATGGCGGCCTCGGCGGCAGTGGTTCTATATCTTCTTTTTCATATGGAACAAGCTATGATGGTGTTGTTGGTTATGGGGCTGATTATTATGGCTCAAATGGTTCACAAAACTTGATTAGTGTGGAAGAAGAAGCAATCGCAAGAAAAAAGTTGCTTTCTTATAATAATAGTGGATTTTGTTCACAACAAACTCCTGAATTCTTCCGTGGTATGTCATTGTGCTTAGTCTTTTTAATTTATCACCTTTCCATTTGTCTAAAACTCTCTTCCAATAAGATCACTTAAATCTGAAATGTCATACTAGCCGTATCTCAGTCTATAATCACGCATTATCACGTGTATGATTAACTTGGGATAATTAACTTGGGTTAACTTAAATCTGAAATGTCATCCTATATATAATCATGTATTCTCATGTGTATAATTAACTTGGGTTAGACACAAGGATGTCCCAGTTGCAGCAAAGTCTCAAACACATAATGGTGGTTGTGTTATTGCAGGTCGGAAGAGCAATGAGGTGATGGGGATGATGAGCCAGAACCAATGTTGGGATGGTTCAGGTGAGATGGAGGGTCATTCATATGGGGGTATGTATACCCACCATCCACCTCCAAACATGAATGTGATGACAATGCAACAGTCAAACTTCCACAGCCTTGTTCATCAAAAGTACTCAGATTCTTCATGTCAATTTTCAGGCGGCAAGCCCTCACCATCAGCATCAGCTGCTGACAGAGTTGTTGGCAGCGGCGGCGGCAGCAGCCGCCGTGAGACGAGCATTCAGCCACCGCCCTTCATTGATTTTCTTGGGGTAGGAGCCACATGAAGTTAGAACTCAGCCGAAAAGGGTTTTTTTTATTTTATTTTTTATTTTTTTTATTTTCTTCACTTGAATCATCAGAAGAAAAAGAGGCACAATGTGTTTGTGGTCCAAGAAAAACTATGAAGCAATTAGAGGAAAAAAAAGAAAAAAGAGAGAAGGCTTGTTGTTTTAGTTAAGCTCAGCTGACAGTGAAAAATCTGCATCATCCCCTTTTTAGTCATATCCCACCACCATCTTTTTCAATGTACCCCCAAACTCTCACATGAGACCCCCTTACCAAAAGGTGATCCAATAAATTAGATTATTGTCACACATTGACTTGTCACTTTTTTTTCATGTTTTTCATCATTCTCTATAATAGTTTCCAAGGAGCTCAAGAGAATGAAGATCAAACTAACTTAAAATATGGTAGAAGCGATTTTCGCATTCCTTTTGTATCCCCTAACCCTTGAATAAATCAAGAGAGAACTAAACGATGTTAACAAGAGAATGAGTAAAAAAGGTTAAAGAAGGATAAAACGAAAGTGAAAATCACTATCTTATCAAATTTTGTATTTGTTTGAGTAAAGGTTAAGAAATTAAATAGGGGAAAAGGTGATAAAATAGGGATGATGATGAAATGATGAGGTAAACAAAGATAATAATAGGGTCATTGGATTAGAACTATTTGGAACATCCTTTTCTTTCCCACGGGGACTGAAAAACTCAGGCACAATTTCTGCAACTGAAGACTATCCTAACCTATGCTAATCTTACCGTGAGGGGTAGAGAGAGAGAGAGAATTCGCTCAATGCACATGGGAGTAGCCGTTTGGAACTGTGTTAAATAGTACTTATTACTATTTTGCTGAGGGATGGATAGGATAGGGCATGAGAGTCCAGGATTTCCAAAGGATATTACGGATATTTCTGAAAGCCTGGAACAAGTAACGTCAGTGGAAAGTAATGCACACTCAAAGTCGCCTATTCCAATCCAATCCAATACGTATTGAACTGGTTCAGTAATGTAAAACACGATTACACTGAGATTTCGTACGCAAGTTTTGTTTCAAATGTCTGTCGCCCAGAACAGGAAAATATTTGAGTGGTCCTGGTTCCAGACTCCATGCATCGATGGAATTCGACTTGAAAGCTCTCAATCCACGTCAGCTGAGACTTGAGATTGATGGAGGAGGTCTCACAAGGCTTAACTAGTATTTGGGCCTTGGCCTTCGTACAAGATTCCAATGAGTTTAAGTTTGTTGTCACTTGTTACCAATATGAATGTATCGCATGACCAACTTGTTCAGAATGTTGGATTCTCAAATCACCCCTCAATTGGGTGAGAAATTATTGGCCGTGGCAACTCGTTCCACCTCACACATCCGCCCTAGACACAAAAACATCCCACCTAGACCCTCCCACGCTCTCCTAGTCCCAGTGATGGGTTTTTGGCCGAACAACCATGTAATTCGGGCATGGAGACCGAAGAACTCCTCCGCTTGGGGCCAAGTCAATATGAGGTTGCATAATGTGTCAACTGAACTTCATAGCAAAACTAGATTTCAACCCGTACATGGCATGTTTATTTACTTGTAACGGAAAAAATAATGAATCAGGGAAGCTATGAATAGTAGGGTGTGTGATGTTCTTCTCCTTGTTATTGAATGGGGAAAGTAACGAGACTAGTACGAAAGATCAATCAGAAAGACAACAAATCACGATCACATGGTTTATTACCATCAGACGATGGACAAGATGATATGAAAGCATCGGTGTAATATCTAGAATTCCCGCGGCAACCAGGAAAATTTGAAGCCAAAACAGAGACCTGGTTGTCGCCCACAACAAGAGCTTCATCTCTAATGCTTTTTACCTCAACTTGGCGCACAATAGATCCATCTTCATTGTGGAGCCAAAAATAATAACAAGGCGATACATGAATTTTTTAGTAAAAGAGGACCAAACTACCATTGAGACACACCGAGATTCCTACACGCGAGCAGCTCAAAAATGCTCCAAAAAGGTAACAATTCAATATTCATCTCATCAAATCCCGTAACCTCCAAAATATTTATTCCAAAATTATATTAATTGGTTAATTAATGGATTAATTACCCAATTAATCCATTAAACATCAATTAAAACATCCAAATAACCACAACATATATCCCACTCAATCCCAAAATTAGTGATTGACCGGCCACCCCCTTTCTCCCTTGTTTTTCACACTTTTTTCCATTTTATTACCCTATTTACACAACTATTCAATTTTGTAACCTCCTATTTATTTCTTTTACACTTAATTAGCCAATAAATTGGCTAATTAAGCCAAAACTATAACCACCAAAACCCATTAGTGGCCGGCCACACCTTGGGAAAATTGGGCAAAGCTTAGCCCTATAAATAGGCACCCATTCTCACCAAAAAGCTATTCCAACACTTTGGCAAAAATCTCAAAATTCCCTAAACACTCATTCTCTCTAAATTCTAACTTTGGCATCGGAGGTTCTTCGGCCAAAGCCCCCCTCATTCATCGTGGGCGTGTGAGGCTCTTGGCCTTAACCTAAGGTGTTAATTGTTTTGTAGGTGCAAAATTGTCCAAGATCAAGGAGGAAGAAATTTGCATCCACAAATTGGTGCTTTCATTGAGAGTTGAAATCCATACTTGTAGAAGACTCTCGCACAAAAAAGTTTTTTCTTTATTTTCTAGTCCATTTGAATATTTTTCATACGTTCTTATTATTAGAATTTTTTACTTGCAAAGGTTCTTTGATAAAACGTATAAGCAAAATATAATGGCTAGAAATTTAGAAAATTTCTTAAATGAAAATTCTAATGTTCAAGAAATGGGATTGCGGAGATTCGTGAGGCTAAATGCGACAATAAGTGGAGCAGCACCACCACCACGAGTTTCCACCATGGGAACCACCATGGTGGCGAGGTCCATGGTGCTTTCACCACGGCCCGAGCCGTGCCATCCAAGGCTCACAGCACCAAGGCCACGGCCCAAGTTGTGCCATCCAAGCTTACACGCGTCCGAGCCCAAGCCGTGTCATCCAAGCTTGCACGCGTCCGAGCCCAAGCCTCGCATTCGCATGCATCACGCGCTGAGCAGCCTGCTCCCGACGAGCAGCCCACTCCCGTGGTCTAGCCTGCTCCCGACGAGCATCCCATTCTCGCGGCCCAGCCTGCTCTCATGGCCCAACTTGCTCTCACAGCCCAGCCTGCTCCCGCCAAGCAGCCTACTTCTATGGCCCAGCCTGCTCCCGACGAGCAGCCAACTCCTGTGGTTCAGCCTGCTCCCGCCGAGCAACTTGCTCTCACAGCCCAGCTTGCTCCCGCCAAGCAGGCTACTCTCGTGGCCCAGCCTGCTCCCGACGAGCAGCCCACTCCCGTGGTTCAACTTGCTCCCGCCGAGCAGCCTGTTCTCGTGGCCCAGCCTGCTCTCGACGAGTAGCCCGCTTCCGTGGTCCAGCCTGCTCCCGTCGAGCATCCATCTCTCATGGCCCAGCCTGCTCCCGTGGCTTTCCAAGCCTGCCCAAGACTATCTCAACCATCCAGACCTACCATCGAGCTGGGGGCATTCTCACTACATTTTTTCGCGGATTTGACATTTTCCAACTCAAATCTCGCCCACGGAGTCTACCACCCTTCCATTGCCCTAAGAGGTGCATTCCTTCCAAGCTCTTTCAATCCAAATGGCGAACAACACTTGTCTCGACAAGTCATAGAGTTGACGAACACCCTTGCACAACAGACAACCTTGGTGAATCAACTTTTACAACGTATCGGGATCCAACGTGCCCCGGACGAGGTATCCCGAAGTAGGACAAGGGCATACGAACCTTTCCAGCAGCGTCCCGGTAAGCAGCCACTCGACCAACCACGAGCCGAACATTCGGGCAGTGTACATTTCTGATTGGGCCCCCGAGATAGCGTATACTCCCATCTTAGCACGCGGATGAGTATGCACTCTAGACTAGGCCCGCAGATGAGCATACATTCACGGTTGGGGTCACACTCCGATAGTCAACATGAGCAACCTTCCGGGCAAAGTGTTCATTCGTGGCTAAGCCTGCAAGGAGCATCATTCACCTCACATCAGAGTAGGCAGCACGACGGACGGAGAGAAGCAGTCACTCAATCCAGCTCAAGTTCAACCAGCAGCCTGCGAAGAACTCGCTCGCCTGCTAGGAACGCACCACATGCACTGCATCCGCGGTATAGACGAGCCAAACACATGGAAGAGCAGTCTAGACCAGCAAGTCATGGCTGGGGGCAACCGAGAGCTCCGCTACCCCAATAAAGGCAAATTCAGGAAGAAGTAGAGAGACTCTTGACTAACCTATTGCATGATTTCCAACGCAACAAGGTCACCGACGAGGCATTATGACGGAACATGACCAACATAAGCAGGTCACCCTTAATGGACGAGATCGAGCAAGCAGAGCCTCCACGCGAGTTCAGCATGCCACATTTCGTATCTTTCAAATGGGATGAAGATCCGGAGAGACACTTAAAACGCTACCGAAGCGCAATGATCCTTTATCGAAACAACGATGATCTCATGTGCAAGATATTCGCCACCACTCTACAAGGCGAGGCGCAAGATTGGTTTTACACCATGCCGCCACAATCTATCCGGAATTTTGACGAACTTTCTTTGATCACCAAAGAATATTCATCCTATCGCTCGATCAAAAAGAAGTCCGACCATTTGTTCGACGTTAAGAAAACTCCAAAAGAGTCGCTTCGCGACTATGTAAGGAGGTTCAAAGCGGAGAAAGCAAAAATAGTCGGATGTAACGACTCGATAGCTAGAACAGCCTTCCAAAAAGAACTTCCAGCAGACCACCCACTGTTCGGAAAACTGATAATGAAAGAAGATCTAACTCTGGCAGACTTTTTCGCTCTGGTAGAGAAGCATGCACTTTGGGACGAGGATTGCCAATGCACATTCAAAGACTTGAAGAAGTACTCGACGTCACATCCCTACTATCCAAACCGGAAGCAGCGGAGGACTTATTCACGTGTTTGATAGTATCTAGACCAGCAATAAGCTCTATCATCATGCGAGAAGAGCTGGGGGCCCGACTACCTGTATTCCACAGTTTAAAAGCTCTCATCAATGCTATCAGTTGTATTCCACAGTTTAAAAGCTCTCATTGATGTTATCAGAAATTCAAAAGCTAACTTCGGCGATATTTGTTGTAACTTGAAAGTTCTCCTTGCACACAGTCATCATCATGACACACTATTCTGCCGAATACAGACGCACGACAATAAAGGCGTAGACCTTGGCGGATGCAAAGTTTTTTTACGAAAGCAACA